TATATTTAATGTCTCTCCAGTTTATACCAAAAAAAAGTCATCTCGCCCATGGTGCAGTGCATACTAGTGGCTATGCAGAATAGGCCTTTATTGCATTTGAAATTATAGTGTTGTTCATTTACTAAAAGTAATTGACTTGTTGTTTTTTTTTGCAAAGGGTGCATAGATAAGGTGTTTTATAAATTAGAATAATTTTAACGAGCACATTTGCGATGTAAAACGATTTCTGTGAATAACAAGAGAAAGAGAGAGAGAAACAGAGAGAATGACGAATATTGTGGACAGTAAACAACATAGATAAATCTATTTAATCGACGCGCATATAGTTAATTTTCGTTTGGTTTTTCGAATTGCTTATTGAAGCATGATACTAAAATTATTCTTGCGTAGAGGCGTGATTAGGGTTTACCTACCTGTCTCGACGATTATAGTAATTGTTTGCGTAATTTGTTGACAATATCCCAAGTAAACAAACGTCTTGAAAAGAAAGTCAAACAATCAAAGAAATCCCATCGTAATAAGAATTTTACCAACTTCCGCCTAAAGCTAACCAAGCCACGACTCCTCGCACCGTTAGCCGCGTCGTTTTACAAGATTCTATTTACACCTACTGCCAAAATGTTTACACTTCAACAGACAGCGCAGGACGAAGCTGCGCAATATGTAAACCATGGCGGCGCCCCGAACAATTGAAAGTGGATTTCCGGCTTAAAAATTGCTCAAAAGGTAGTGAGCAGAGCAGAGCAGGGCAGAGTAAAAGCTAGCGAAGGCGTTTCAAAGCAGACAAATGCGAAAACTCATAAAACCAAACTGAAGGTGTCGAAAAAAATAAGAAATGCTAACGGCCTGCATAATACGCAGCTCCAGCGAGGGTGAAACGCCGTACCTGAGGACTTGGGCGGGGCTAGCCCCGCTTGTCATAGCGCAAATTTATGTAAAAATTTGTAGCAATTGCAATAAGTTCGGTGCCCGGCAGCCAAATTCACAGGAACAAATAAATTTTCGCATGCTGGGCGAATTTTTATGCGCATTTTAAGTGTTGCCTGATGCACAAATGCTTTCAGGTTATTAAGTCTTTAAAATGAATTCCCCAAGGATTTCCACAGATACAGGAAGGGAGCTCTCTTTGGGGTTAGAAAGAGAGAGAGAGAGAGAGAGAGAGAGAGGAATAGGGAGAACTACAGTTTTCAATTAACTTAAATACGAGCATATTTTAAATGCAAAATGGCATTAAAAACTTTACGAAAAACTGATTACAGTTTGCCCACAAGTATTTACCAAGCACTCCATGAGTCTGATTGTGAATCTGTTGGCAGTGCAGTGCCAAGCCAATAATATACAAAACGTCTTAAGCAATGTACAAAGTGGAGTGCAAGTCTAGGCTTCGAGCCCCGCCCGACCTTAGACTCCGTCTCCACGAGCAAAGACTGTCAAAATTAGCTCGCAGCTGGCAACGCCTCACAGTGCAAATATTGAGCACAGCCAAGGAAGGCGGAAGCCCAGGCGCACCATTCCCTGACATGGGTTGGTCTGGGCTGGGCTGGGCTTTTGGGGGAAAGAGCAACAGACAAGACAACATTTCATTTCATCAAAATTTCGACTCGCTTATTCCGTAGCTGGAATTTTTCTCACTGCCAACTGTTATTTTTGGCAATTTGTTTGTTTGCCAATTGTCTGCCGGTTATGCTTATCCTTTTTTGTCGGCCAGCCTGATGTAATAAGATTTCATTTCTCTGACTTTCCGACTGTCTTTTTGTGCCAATTAACATAATATTTGTAAGTGGATTTTCATACTTGAGCGGAATCCGAATGAGAAAAACTTTAATGTTGCCTCAGTGAAACTTTGCAAAGCCATTGAACTCTTTGCCGTCTCTTGAATCAAAATTCGTGGTCTATCCCTAGCTGCCACGATAAGATATATATGTATGTATGTATGTATGTACGTATATTTGTAGGAGAGGCTCATATTATTTGTAGCTGCAAATGCCGATGTACAGCGAACGAGTTTGACCATAAACAGAGCTAACACCCTTTCGCCTTTCTCATTGCTTTTCCCGCCCCCAGCCATTTGCATTTGCCAGCACTTCAATTATGTGACAGACATTATTATGCTAGCATCACATGCCGTGCGAGTGCGATTGCGATTTCAACTGCAGATACAGTCAGCGACACGCCGAAAGAAGCCCGAAAAACTTGAACAGTATGCAAATGAAAAAGACCCGGGCAGTGATAAGCGACAGAGCCAAGTCACTGCCATTGCCATTGCCACAGCCACAGCCACAGCCATAGCCAGAGCCAGAGCCACGTTGGGCCTCGAGGTTACGCTCTTCAGCATCAGATCCGCATTAAAATGGAAGAAGTGTAGCCGAAACTAAACACTCAGAACGTCTATTGGCTAGCTGCGTTTTGCCAATCATTTGAAAATTATGATCCAATCATAACACTTGCTATTGCCAGTTCAATAAACCCATCATAACTGGGCGTGGCTCGCGATAAATCAGCTAGTGGCAAGCGTAATTGTAAATGTCACTGCATTGAGCCACAGGTGCTGCCCCTGCCAGTCACGTGCCTCGTAGGGAATTATGCAGATGGAATAGCTCGGGTCCACCCAATTTGTATGTATAACCCACATTTTGCTGTTTACTCAATTTATTCTGGTCCCCCACTTATTTGCTTACAAATCAATTTCGAGCTGGGTCCCTCTGATCCGGTTCTCTTAAGTATTCCCCATTTAGTTTTGCTTTTGCTTAAGCTCACATTATTTATATTTGGGAATTCCGATTGGGAATTTTATTTAATCGCCATTTATAGACGGATCAGGCACAGATACCCTGCTCGCAATCTAAGCCGAGCATATTGGCTTCGCTCAACACCGTTTGAAGTGCCAAACAATTTCTAGGGATCAGAAGACCATAGTGAAATTTGAAAAGATAATATGAAAAGATTCTGTATATATCGACTTACATTCAACTCTGACATCTTACATAATATGTTAAAGCATCGCATTGCTAACTCCTTTTCGACTGTTCTATATAATGTAAATAGAGCATTACGTAGTCGACTACATGCATGACCCCTCTTTCTCGTATGTGAGATGAATTTAATGGTCATAGAGAACCGAGCTGCTCCACTTTTAATGCTGATTCGGCAGTGTATTTATAAGACTATTTATGTCTCAATAAATAGATCAGGAAGACCTGCAACAGCAATTCTTATATAACATATCGCTTGGTCAAATATTCGCTTTCGAGTTGAGAATGTGTAACTCATAGATACCCTGCTCAATTTTCTTCCCTTAGTAGAATCAAGAAATTGTTGGTGGTATAAGTAAATCTTTATAGAAAGTATATTATTGTAATCAACAAGTCCGACATTTAATTGTAATACTTCTCATACATTTGCACCAAACCTATGTATACCCGTATGAATCGATTTCAGTCATCTACTGGGTATATATCAAAAATTAACATATTCAAATAACAAATTTAATCTTGACAAGTTAAGCCCCATACAAATGACATCATTTGGTTAGCCAATTATACAATTTAAAATTTTTTTTCCATATCCTTGTGCGGCAGTGTTAAATGAGGACTTCAAGGATGAGTAGAAAATAATATACTAAAAATGTAAATATTTGAATTTATAAACATACGTATTTTCATGAAATTAAGATATACATATTTGTTTGAAATACTGGCGGATAGGAGTAGAACTGATAAATAATGAAAAATAAAATAATTTCATATCATCATTGAATACATATATATCCCCAGTGCTCTGCTATATACATATGTATGTAGAAGAGCTCCACGAATTTAGTTCTCTATTGTGTTACACATTTCGTGATCAAAGCATGCCAACTACTGAAATAGTAATAAAACTTGAAGCCAACCCCAGAGGCAACTGCGAGACAAATACAAAAAAGTCCAGCCAATGTAGATCTGGGCATTACTGTGGATCAGAGACAAATGCCGCCCATCCATTATTCAAGTTGAGGCCTCGACAACTGTACTGCCCGCAATCGCAATTAAAATGAACTTTGCTATATAAAAGAAATAATGTACATATACATATATATAGTGTGAGCGCGTGTTTGTATGGGAATTCGTAATTTTCTAAGTTATTGCACTCTTCGAAGCCTTTGCAACAATTTATGGCCGTCTTTATGCGGTTACCCGTGAGCTTAGATAGATTTATATATTTCTCCGCTCTGCCGGCTGCTGACTCACGAGACTTAACGTGACATTACTGCTGTCAACGACTTTTGGCTTAAAACGATGTGCAGCGCATCCTTAATTACAGCGCACTATAGAGCCTAGCCGAGGCGACCCTTCTGTCGCCCTCGCCTCGCCACCAGGCGGCACACTCAGCGGTCTCTTGTTGCTTCTTTTCTGAAGCGGATTCAGCAAAAGCAAAAAACAAATTTGCAAAGAAAGAGGGAAATGCCGTCAGCTATTCGCAAGTTTTTATAATGTTTTGCATCGAGTCGGCAAACTTTACGAGAATTTCTTTATATCTAGCTCGTAGGCTCCATTACGTGGCCTGCCTAACAACCATGTAATGCTGCATGAATAATGAGAAGCTCTCGAGATCAGATACTGGCTAACTGCATTAGTTAATAAGAAATCTTGTCGGCTCTATCTATAGAGAAAACAAGATGCCGCTAACCCTAAAATTTATATGCTCCTAACGATATCAGCCCAATCAACACACGAGTGCTTCAAGTCCCCTGCCTCAGCCCCATCACCATCCCCATTCCCAGCTCCAGCTTCAGCACACATGCTGCTACAATCGCTCTAAATCATTGTCGTCTGTTTCTCATCGGGGCACATCATCACTGCCGTCTTGGCCCGTGGCTACGTCTCCGCCTCCGCGCCCGCCTTCGCCTTCGTCTTCCTCATTGTCTACCGTCGACGGTGGCTATTATCAGCGTCATCAATTCGCTGCCTGCAGACAGCTTGTCACCGTCGGGTAAACATGCGAATTTCGCAGTCGAGCAGGCAAACACGTGACAACGGAGGTGACTCTGTTCCCGCAGCATTCAGCACTCAGCATTCGGCTGATGAACTGGCTGGTGAGGACAACGCGTCCGACTACCCAATGACGATGACGCCTCAGAGCCGACAATGACGTCAATTGTGCGACAAAAGCCATTTTGCATACTAAAATCGGGCAAACAGCGCACTCAGCAGCAGACAGAGACAGCAATAGCGATAGCGATAGCGATAGCTATAGCGACTCGGGCTCGGGCTCGGGCTCGGGCTCGGGCAAAACTGAGAGATATTGTACACATATTGCATGATGACTATAATTTAAATTGAAGTACGAAGTGTTGACAAAATTATAGCATTCAAGATACCTTTATTGAGCGTTTAGCACATAAGAGCGCACCCACACATACCCAATTCTCTCTCTCACTCACTGTCTCCCTTGCGCTCAATCATATGTATGTCTCTCTTAGCCCATACTAAAAAGCTTAAGATTGTTGAAGCCCTTCGACTTGTCGATGCGTCCGTAGAACGAGCCCTTGAATATCATCTGATTCTTAGGTTTCGATAGACGTAAACTGAATTTGAAGTTGGTCTCTGGCAGAAAGCTGGGCAGCAGCTCCTCGTCCACAACATAGTCCTGCAGCGTGTAGGTGCCCCTCTGTATGGGGCATTCCTTGAAAAGCTTTCCATATCGCTGCATGTCTTGGTATATGGACCGTGACAGGGGATCCGCATTGCGGTCCTTCAACATCTTGCACAGGTCCACAGTCCTACTGATGAGGCTGGTATAGTTGCCCGGCTCCGTCTCCAAGAAAACACTGCCCGTTACGTCCACACCGTTGATTGTCTCCAAGGTGTTGACAACGACAGTAAGCGCACTTTTGCTACTGTTTTGCAACTCTATTTTCACATCCACCAGCTTGGCATTGAATTCGTAGTCGAAGCGCACAAATACAATCTTGAAGGAGCGCTGGAAATAGGAGATTGCGGGGGGAAAACAATTCAATAAGATGGCAGATCGCATGATCTTTACACCGTGGAAACACCCTTAAATGTTTCAGCCCCAATTCTCACGCTTACCCAGCCATGAGCCACAGGATGGCTTAGTATTAGCATAAGTGCCAATGCAAGAAATCGTAGGCTTAACTCTGTTCCCATCTTAGTTCAATTATAAACTGGCAATTTTATTCAATTAACCACTAGTCATATTATAGGAGTATTAGGCGGTCAGGCATCAGTGGAGACCAAATGAGTTTGGCCATTACGGAATCAGATGGAAATCCTCACTGTCATGGCAAACAGCGTCAGCTAATTGGTTTTGAATATGCTTTTATTCCAAATCACTCAGGCGTTTAGACTCAAGCCCTTGATTCGATGGCATCGATTCGAAATTACCGTTGTTAATTATTACCTGGCACTATAAATACCTGGAGCATCACAGAGCTCTGACAGGCATAGTAAATCACCATGTGGATGAACAGTGTGCTTGTGGTGCAAGTCCTTCTGGCGCTCTGCTCCGGCAGCTTGGCCGAGGTAAGTGCTCTAGAATCGCCTCCAGACTATTCCTTACCAGCTCCCATTGCATTGGCCAGAAAATGATGCGGCCCAAGTTCAAGGAGATCAAGGTGTGGAGCGAGGAGAAAATGGTCAGCCACAAGATCCTCTACGACAACTCGGATCCGCACCTGAACTTCTCCATGGAGGTGCACCAACCGCTGCACGACGTGGACATTCACTTCGAGGTGCGCATAACTAACAAAGTGGACCCGTACTACACAACCACCTTCAACACCACCCTGAATGTCTGCCGCATCCTGAACTATGCCAACCAGTCGCCAGTGGGTCGCTTCGTGCACGGCTTTATGCGCGAATACGGCAATATCATCGACACCTGTCCGATACCGAAGGTGAGTGCCCCCACGCTTTGTGCTCTGGCCCTCGTGCAATCTACATTCGCGTCTTCTAGGGAAGATACAAATTTCGTCACTTACGCTTTAATCGAAAATTACAGGGCTCGTACTACATCAACAAGTTCTGGTGGCCAGAGGACCCAACCTCGTCCATTCTGCCCGAACTGGAGGTCGACATCCACTTTGAGGCCCACCTCCTGGATGCCAGCAAGAAGCGATCGCTCCTCATGAACGACCACATTTCCGGCGAGTTTGTTGTCCAGGATGTCAACAATCTGAAGCCTGGCATATTCGCCATGTTGCCCAAGACGACCTAGGCCACTTCCCCACCGCTGAAGTCTATTCAATTTCCGTATCTATCCAGCACTTTCGATGTTTCAATGGTATTCTTCAACTTATCTATCCGTTTTYTTCTTCTTCCTAAATGTAGTAACGAGCAATATATTTGCCGGCTAGCGCAAACAAAATCGTTGAGATATTTTCATTTACATTAGGAGCTTTCCTGTCTGCATAGGAGACCAATTGTAGACGCAATTGAATTCCCTTATAGATCTGCGATAATTACATTTTCTGGGCAGCTCTGTTTTTCGAATACGTGAACGCAATTGCTTTCGAATTAGCTGGGTTTGTCACTCACCGAATATCTATCATGTCATCTGTCATAAAACTGTTCATATTTTTTAGCACGCAAATTTAGCATATTTTTTGCAAATTTCACAAATTGAATTAAAACTCCCCGTCGAATGGGCCATCACGGCATAGACAGCGACACAACAAAATTAATATTCAATATATTTGCAATGAAATGTTTCGACTCGCGTCGTGCCCATTGTATTCCCTCTGACAGTTTGCGAATTTTAAAAGCGCGCCTGACTGCGAAGTGCCAGCCGCTTTGATTTCGTGAGCATTTTGTATGATTTATGTGACTGTCAGTTGTATTGAGCTCTTGGATTCGAGCAATTGACTGCTCACTATTGCCGGTACTTAAACGCATCGCAGTAGCCATAGAAATATGTATTTGCTATTGCGCAGCACCTCGAAGTTTATGGGCATTTCTAGTTTATAGCTACCATTATCTACCCAACAATTTAGCTGCGGAAGTTGTCATTTGAACGAAGATCACAAAGCATGTCCCATTGGGATGGGACATATGCATGTAAAGGTAATTACAGACGACTCTCGATAATTTGTACCCAGCTAAAGCAAAAATCGCAATAAATCGAAAAAATTATATTCTCTTGAAAGCAGCTCCATACATTTTCTCTCGTTAATTCTTAGCCTTTTTCGCAACTTTTAGAACATTAATCCTCTTGTAAATAAAGATTTTATTTTCGTAACCTCTTATAGTTTGCATTGCAACTTGAAAATTGTTGTCGTTAAATACCCGTTGCACTTTGCAAGCAGCTATGCCGCCCTAATATCGCTGTACATGCTGAATTTTGCGCTTCTCCCGCCGTTTTCGTTTGGTTTTTGTGTTTTATTCCAAGAGCAACATCATGTCTTAGAAATGGCAAATAGACGTACGCATAAAACCTTATCAATCTCTCAAAAGCAGTTTTCACTGCCCGACCCAAAAAATACCGAGCCCAATACGAAGTTGAAGTTTGCTCAGATGTCCAGTTTATGTGTTGTATGGTTAGATATAATACTAATAATAACCGATGCTCGCAATTACATGAAAATATATATCTCATGTTAATGCTTAGATATAATTATTTTATAATAATTATATGGGCATTTCTCCTGAAAGGTTAACCGCAGCCAAAACATTCAAAGTCAATGCAAGCATGTTCTGCTAACATATTTTGTATAACTAATTCATCAAATTTAACTAATATAAACCCATTTTACATTTTATCATAATACATCGCGAAATATTGAGACACAAAGCCGAATAAGTGCAAAAGCTCTGTTTTGAGCATTTGTATTGCACACTTTGTTCTCATTATTGAAACACTATGCAATGAAATATGATACTTCGAATTTTCTCTATTTTATTATAATTAATAAATTGAATATATATAAAATCATTGCTAATGCTTTTATTCATGTACAATTACTAAAAAGTTAAAAAAAAAAAAAAAAACTTATGGTGGAAAAAATGTCCCATTCGACACGTCACCTTCGACCCTGATTAAAAATAAAAAGCTAA